TGATAAATGGTTGTTTTGTAAAGTCTCAGAAATGAGTCAGTGCACCTTTGCTGTCTGCAGACTTTCAAACTTAAATTTTGAAACTGAATTATGTTGTTTGAATAACCATGAGCATATTCTAGCTTGTTTCAAGGCTAGATATATTAGATAATTAGATATGCATGTTTCCAAAATGTACATCAGCTTTCTAAAAGAAGGGCTTCATTTTGTCTGGGGTTTCCTTTAAAAATAAACCAATTGCTAAAAACAAAGTCTGTTTTGTTTCTGATATTTGAGTTCTTTCTTGTGTTGCTTTATGTCCTGTTTACATACTGTTGCGTTGTTCTCTGGCCCTTGTTTCCTTAGAGTGTTATTTTGGTTTCTCTTGTGTCAGGTTTCTGCTGAGTTCATTGCTGTTTTCCATCATATAAATTACTCTCCCTGTCTTCAGTGTTGCAGAAGTGTTTTTAACCCTAAAGCCTATTCACATTTTATAAGAACCACAAATTTCAATGTATTTTATTTTAATTTTATGTGACTGGCCAACACAACAGAAAAAAGATTATTGGCCTGACAAATTATGAACTGGGAAATCTGAAAAGTGTGGTGTGCTTTTTTGTTGAGTCCACTTGAGCTAATACTGTGCAAAAGCACATTTTCTACTGTTTTCTGGAAGTCTTTTTGAGTATGTCTGATGGGCCTTTGTGCCATTTCTCATTTGCAAAATAGTTTACTCTTGTGATAGATAGCACTTATCAAAAGCAATTTTCAAGTTTTGCTGAATTATTCACCATTTTGACTTATGTGTGGAGTTGACTGGGAAATTCTAGCATTTGAATAGACTTTGATCTGGACAAAGGGTGTCAAACTCCAGTCCATAAAGGAGAGTGTCCCTTAGAAACAACATCCCCCAAGCATGTTACAAGCATGTCACTAGTAATATGACCCACTGGGATCACATTACATCATGCTTTACTTTTCCGGATGATGTCGAGTCACATCTAGGCGGGCATTCAAGCTTTTAGTTCTGCTTTCATCTGGCCTGAGCTTTATCTTTCACATGTTTGCTGTGTTTTCTATGGCCAGTGGCCAAATGCAAATAGGACTGCTAATGGCTTTTGTCAGTGGGATTCCTCTTGTCATTCTACACATCAGTTTTGTGGAGATTTGCTTTAAATTTCAACAAGTTATTCCATGTGAGCTGCGGATGTCTGCAGCTCCTCCACTTCTTGTGGATCTATTCTACAACGCAGTACTCTGGATTAATCTACCAAATGCAATCACAATAAATTATATTAAGGTTTGTGGTTTTACTATGACAAAATGTGGTTTCATCATATGTCGATATTACTTTAATCGAATTATTAACCCTGCACAACAAAAAGAGGGATCAGTCCAGTTTGTACAAAGTAACTCAGGGAATAAAAATTTGCTTATTCTACTTTAGGTGTGTATTGCTTGAGTAACACAACAGAGCTCTGTTTCTCAGAGCATAAAGTGTGATACAGCTTTTCTCAGCTAATCATACTTGAGCATCCTGAAACAATAACTCATAAGTACAAATGTATTAAATAAGCAACTGTGTGTCTTTGAGCAGCTGCTCTGGGAACACACAGGCAATATTTGGAAAGTTCATCAACAGCCAACTGCTACCTTTGAGGCAGTGGTGTTCAGTTCCACACACCAGATTTAAATCAATGGATCGTTAACAAGCGACTGCAGAGTTTGATGTAATGCGGAGTTGGTAAATCCACCATGGAGCAGGGAAATAAAAATTGCATCATGGATCAGGGCTGAAATTGGACAGAGCTGCCCGTTATCAAGTTTATAGAAAAGCTTGCTGTCTGATAATATGGTGCAAGAAATATTTGTACTTAATTAAAAAGAGAAGGAGCAGAGGTCTTGTCAGTCATTCATAAGGTACAAAATTAAAGTTATGGCCTTTATGTGTGGCATTTAGGAATGTTTTTTTTTCTGCTCTGTATTCAGTTGCTCATTTCTACATTTTGTTGCTTTGTACATGTGACAGTGCAATGACAATAAAGTTGAATTCTATTCTATTCTAATTTCAGCTTTTCATTAAAACAACATTTATTCTGTAGAGCCAATGAATGTGTCTGTTTTGGTCTCCATCGTTGCATTGACACACTGCTCACATCTTGGTTTCATGTTTTTGATGTAGTGTGCTTTTGTAGAGGTGCCCTGTTTTCCTTTGACTGTTGCTGGATCACTGAGTTTTGCCTGTAGCTTTTGGTTTTAGATCCTTTGGCTTGCTGTTTGTTAACCTTGGATTTAGGTGTTTCCTGGTTTTCATGCCTCAGTTTGTTTTACGAAAGGCATTTAGTTGATTTCATTCCACTCGGGTTTTAGACTGCTTTTGGGTCCATCTGCCATGAACTTTAAACAGTTGTTGAAAAATTTAAAAGACAGAAAAAACAGACTGGTTCAGAATTTCATCAGACGTGTCGCTGTTAAGGTGAGTTTTGCGGGGTTTTTTAAATATGTTTTGATAATAAAGAAAATAGAAAAGATAGTGTGAGTAAATGTGATGCTTGTTTAGCACATTAACAGTTGGCATCCCTGCAGTGTTATTCAACTATACGGTAATTAATTCTATTTAATACTAATATGTTTATGTTTCAAGTACATACATTGGCCTGTTACTTATAAAATGGGTGTATTAAAATATTTGAGTCTGGTTACTTTTTGTGCTCCAAAAGCTGATTGCTAATTACAATTTCTGCTCATGTGAGGATATAATTTGTATTTCTGTTTTCGCCTTCAATGATTTTAGTGTAAACTGAGGAAAAGTGATTGCTTTTGAAACAATATTACAATTGGGCTCAAAACAATAGTCAACATAAACGTGTTATGTTTATTTACTATTGGGACAGAACTGAAACAGAAAAAACCCCAAACAGATAGTAAACAACAAATGTCCCCTCCCCTTACAATCAAGTGGTACGACCCACTCAGGAGCTTCTGCCATTTAAGGAGAACTGAGGCAGCTGGGATTTTCCTTCTCGGCTCTCCAGCAGCAGCTCCAAAGTAACTGGTAACTCTCAACAAAAAGAACTTGAGCTGTTGTGTGTATGACTTACCAAAAAAAAAAAAACATATCAGACATTTCAAATAGTTAGTTGTTCTGTGCATTCTAAATAGTTCACTAAAGAGGCTAGTGAGAGTAATTGGAAATGAAAATCTGAACTATCAACAATCTTTGAATTAATTTTAAGAATGGAAATTGAACTGTGATGAAGTGTGTCTGAGGAACAGCAGGAACAGGTGTCACAGCCTGATTATGACCCCAGCTGAAAGGCTTTGGGTCGTTCCACCGTAAACTGTCTACAATTTATGAGAAGTGTAGAATGGCCAAAGGAAAATTTGATCAGATTATCTACTTTTTAAGTGACCAATACAGTTGTTGCATGATGAAGTTTCAATCTTACACATGTTGGATTGGTGCTTAAGCTATTTTAAAGATTGCCTAGCTAAAAACTGTCCAAATGTATATGAAAAGCTGAGGACCTAATATGTGGCCCTGTCAGATTTCAGCTGGAGGAACTGTAGAGTTTTGCCCACTTTGCCACATTTGCTAAATATTCTGTTGAAAGTGCAAGTTTTGTCTCTGCTTTTTGGAAGCTTAAGACATATTGCTGATTTTAAGTTTATCAGTTTTTTCACATGCAGCACTTTAGCTATTTCATGGTTGCGATGTGTTTCGATCAACTTGGACCCCACTTTAAAAGACTTTGTTTTACTTTACATGGAGCAATAATCAAACACACAGAAACATTATTTTCCATAATGTTCTCTTCAGATCCTCCAGTTTGTTTGTGTTGAAGGAGAGGCTGGCCATGCAACACTCAGGGCTGAAAACTAAAGGCAATGAAATACTTGGCCCAGTGGCCCCCAGATTCAGAAAATCTCAAACCTAGAAATGTATTGAGTCAGTGGTTACTATATTCCTTAAGCGGGTTGAAACCAATTATTGGACTGTCTTTTCATTATTTTTGTTTGATCATGGTTTTGTTTTGTAATGAAGCCCTTTTTAATTGTCATCATTTTAAATGTCCTCTAAACCAGTGGTCCCCAAGCCCGGGGTCGTTCTTTAATTGGTACCGGTCCCTGGACCAATTGGTACCGGTCCGCGCAAGAAATAATTATGTAGGCTACTTCTGTTTTATGTATTATTTGAGTGTGGAGGATCTTTTATTTTGAAAAATCTTTGACCGGAAGCTTCGCCACGTGTAGCCCAAGCAGGCTGCGCAGCAGCAATACTTCGGGTGTCATTGTCTCTCATCACTTCCAGCTGGGAGAAACGAGCTCAGAGCTCCCATTTAAAATGTCTCGTATCTGATATAAAATCAGTTCAGCCGACAGAAGAGAGAAAAGAAAAAAACAACAACAACCCTTCTTTATCCGCACCGGCAGATCATTTGTCTGAGGCACTGAGCGGAGAAATCTGTGTTTTGCACCCGGAAGTTACGGACATTAGTCGTTAAGTGAAGGAGTTAGTCGTCGTCATGAGTTAAAATTTTCAGGAAAGTAAAATGTTCTTTTTGTGGCGCATCTGTATCTTATTTTGAAGGGATATGTAAACGTTTGGGTTTGGTTCACACGGTACGATTTAAGGATTGTCGGTCGATTTTTCCAAACCTCTGTGACCAAAGTACCGATAAAAGTCCGACAGGTTCGATCGGTTCGTGTTTCCAGCCACACGGCAGGAACAACACACCACGAGAACCGATTCCACTCACGAACATCTCGATTCACGAAGACAATCCAGTAACTCCCCCCTCCCCCCAGCATACCATACGTTAACTTTGAATAATCAAACCCGGATGAGCATCTAGAAGCAGCAGTGATAGTTTATGGACTCATTTTAAGCGATAAAAGGCGTTTGATAAAATGGAGCAGCTGCTCTATTTGCTGCATTATGATTTGGTGGTGAGTTCTGTTTTTTCGTAGTTAACATTTTTAACTGAATAATCATAACCATATATGGTAAACACACTGACCTTTACATTTCCACGTATCACCTCCGATGCCCACCGGATTCTCAGTTGCCATGTCAACTGTTTGGGATTCATTTCCGTTCTTACGTCACCGCGCTTTCTGATTGGCTGCCTGTCACATTCAACGGGCTGCGTTCTGCTCAGTCAGGGAAAAACCCCACAGGCTGCGGTCATCGGGCCAAGACAACGTAGAATATGCCTGATTTTTTTTTTTTTAGATCGGGCATGTTCAACACACCGCCACGTAACACACCGCACTCTGCAGCACGTTGTAAGATCGTCATAAAGGAAAAATCAGGTCCGCGGTAACGACTGCTCTAAACATGTACATTTCTTATTGAGGTAGGAGATGTAGGTCTTTTTTTTTTTTTAAAGAAGGAATACATGGTTGAAAAAGATTAACATTTTCTTTTATGACCCAACTTTAAGAAAGTGGTGAGATTTTTAGAGAAATGCTGAACAGTCTGATGACGTGAGAAATTTGTAACTGCTTGAATTTGTGCAACAATTAACCTCCTTAAGAAGATGTGCCCGTGTGCCATTTATTGAGTTTTTATTGTAAGATTGTGTGTTTGTGTGCATAATGTGGTTCCTGGCTGCAGCAGCTGTCGGGGGACCACCTTAACAACAGCAGGCTCATTTGCTGCATGATTATCGACGGGGCCCCCTACATTTACAGTCCAACCATATGACTTTGATGCAGACACCCAGTGTTTCTTGTTCATTATGATTATACCAGGCTGGTGTCCTACCATATGGCTTCCACTTGCTCATAATTCCAGGTCTGTGCAGATTGTGTGTATATTAAAAAAGTGATCCAGTGTGAGGGGCTCGTAGGTAGACGAACTTATGTCTTCTTAACTCTCAGCTGTTTGGAGAAAATATAAAATTCTGAAGAAAAACACAGTTTTTGGGGGATAGTTGGAGAGTTATCCAATGCCTTCATTAGTTGAATGAATAATAAGACAATTGTACAAATGCACACACATTCACTGTAGCCTGAATAGAAACCTGCATGTACCACCAATCTGTCCTAGGACTAAAGGGTTGGACATTTATTTTGGGTTTGCTGCAAAGTCAGTGCAACTCTGCTGTGCTAACATGCTCAATTATTTGCCAGAAATTATTTAAACGTGGCTGCTTAAGTAATTGGTCAACCGAAGAAAGCCACATGGTTTGTCAAAGTCTTTTTGTTTGTTTTTTTAAATGAAAATGCTTTGAGCTCTGGATTTGAAATATCTTCCAATATGAACTTAAATCTTAATCTGGGGTGCTTAACAATGATCTTATTTAAAATTGCCAAAATATTGGCAGATTTTGTCAGCCAATAATTTTAAATGTGATCTCCCTTTGATACTGAGTGACTTCTCTTCACAACTGTCAAAAAAGGGGAAAAAACAAAACAGCCTCCAGGATCTAAAGCCCTACAGAGAGATGAGAAAATGAAACTGATCTGTTCAGACCTCGAGTCCTGCACCAGCAGAAAATATACACTCCCCGACATACACATCAATATGGACCCAACTTAAGAAGAGAAGCCCTGCAGGCTCTGGAGCCTCTACTTTGATCTCCATCCATAGATGTATGTGGCCATGCAGTCACATGTCCTTTTGATACATTGCTTGATGGTCAGTTGTGACCAGATTTTTCAACCCTTCCTATTAAATACATTGATATGTTCTCAGCAAGAACTCATCATTGTAGCGGTTTTAAGTGGAATTTAATCAGTTTTATTTCGATATAGTCACTGATGTGGATATTTTTATAGATTAGTCTATTGGCAAATTTAGAAAACTTTGAAATTGAAATGCAAGTTGAGACAAAACATAATTCATCTAAGCATAATGCGGCTTAAAAAGATTGTATCTGCTGAAATATTATCTAGTCATAAGAGTTAAAAAAAAAAAACCTGCTCAAATACCATTTTATTTAGACTTGGAGCTAAATTCGCTATTATACTGTACATGTTGCAAAGTGTGTTTTGGCATAAACTGTCAGGTACTTATGGGTAAGGTTTGACTTTCAGGCAGAATTACATGAATATTTAATGAGTATTTACAAAAACTGTGTATAAAATAGGAGCTGTGATACCGAGGAAGAAGAGGAGATATAAGAACAATGTAAAACACATGAACATGAATAAAAGAAACGCTTATAAAGGAAATTGTGTTTATCATTCCAGGACTGGAGGCTGACACTGAAGAGGGTCAGTGATTTAGGAAATGGCTGGAGTTTGGCGAGAACTTTAGTTCCAAGAGAAATCCTTTGTTTGCTTTCAAAGAGATTGTGAGACCTACATGGCATTGAACCGGAGGCTGCTGAAGAGCGGGCAGGCACATGACAACTGGAGACAATGGAAGAGCTGTGGAGGAAGTTGAACAAGCGAACATCAGAGGACGTCTGACTCAGAACGCTCTGGTGAAAAGTTTCAGAGAATACAGCAGCATCTTCAACCTGGAAGAAACGGAGAGCATCAGGAGTACGTTGAAGTCAGGTAAGCTGGATGATATGAATAATAACGTTTTCAAAAAGTAATGTTACACATACACTCTTGTTTAAATTGTTGGTGTAGACAGCTGCAAGTTTTTAAAACAATGTTTCAGGCTGATTTGCTTTAAATTTAGACAAATTACAACTTCAGTTTCAAATTATCCAAAGGGCAAGTCAATCATTCAGTTTCTATGACTAACCTCAAAATATTTTGAATTGGACTGTTCTTGTACACTTACAACATATTTAGCACTGATGTATAGTCTCCTTATGAGTACACAGGATCTATATTTAGTGTCATCCAACTCTGCTGTTGCTATGAAACGGAAGAAAATGATTCCTGAACAAAAGTTCGTGAATTATTGAGAAAAGTTCTTTGTTTGTTGCTCATAAAAGTATTTTACTTCTTTGTAATTTAATTATCTTAATTCTAGTATTTCATCTGCAAAAGAGCTACCATCTCTCCTTCTTACAGTGAAAATGGAAACATCTGATGCTTATTCTTTGTGCGTCTATTTAGTTTTACAACAGGAGATCAAAAAATGGGATGGGTAGAATAAGCACAAAATGTTGCGGGTAAATTTTAAATAAGATGACAAATTATCTAAGGATAATAAGGTGCACACTTGTCTGATTTTAATGTCCACTGTGCTAAATTTGGAGCAAGGCTCAGCCACTCCAAAGAGCCACAAGCTCACTGAACACCTTTCCATTTTATGGTCCTTGTAATGTTTGAGCTCAAGAAAAAAAAAATCATCCCCACATGCGAGCACACACTGATGCACTACATAAAACATGTACCACATACGCTGTTATATTTCATGAATATATGAAGTCAAATGTTTGCAAGGAAAGGTGGTGATTTATTTTTATTTTTTTTACTTTTTAAAACTGATTTATTTTAAGCATGACTGCAGTTGTGAAGCCTGATTGCTAGCTAAATGCAGTGCAGTAATTTAGTGTGATTGTCCCTCTTGTCTAGATGTTGGATTTCAAAAATAATCCAAAGTGAAAATGTTTGCAAGGTCTCAATTTTGCTCCTGTGTGTGTCTACATGCTGCTTCCTGTCATCAGTGTCCTCAGGAAGAGTGAACTGAAGACGCTCTCCGTGTTTGAAGGATTCAGGATTTCTCTTGGCAGAGAAGAGTCCCTACAAGAGAGCTGTGTGATGGTTAACAGGAATGGGCTTGTTCGACCTTTTCACTGAACTGTAGTGTTATGTTTAAATAATACGTCTTTCGGCTCTAGCACCCTTCATTGAAAGGTAAATGGACAGGAAGGATGTAGGGGAGGGCAGGGAGAGACGTGCAGCAAATGGTCTGACACCAGGAATTGAACCCGAGACATGTTGAGGGCTGCAGCCTCCACATGTAGTCGCACTGTTTCATCCGGAGGATATGCAGATTTGAAAGGATGTGTTTTGAGGCAGCGAGTTAATGGTACAGATATCAGGTGGCACCTGATTTAAAAGCTAGAAAAAGAGGAGGCTCTGGCCCCCCATGGTGCTGAGGAGGACGGAGGAGACAGAGGGGAATGGGGGCAGAGGACCTCAGGGAGTAGGAGGTCTTGTGAATTCAGAGGAGCTGTGACAGGTAATGTGGGCCGAGTTGGTGGATGGCCTCGAAAGTGATGAGGAGCAGTTTAAATCGGATCCTGGAGTTGATGGGGAGCCAGTGTAGCAGCTGTAAAATGGGAGAAAAAGCTTTGTGTTACGATACAGGAGGAAGAGTTTGTAACCATTCGAAGTTGACAGACGGCCTTATGAGGGAGACATCTTGGCTATTTTTATTTCTCCTCAAAGAGTCGCCTTTCATCCAAAGTGTATCAGCCCCTCAGAAGTTAAAAGAAAATGAGGTATTTGCTCTGTTCCTTAACTCAAGCAGAAAAAAATCCTGGAATGGACATCGGATATGACGAACTGATCCTTATTCGGTTTCACACTTTGTTCCTATAGTTCTACAAGCAATAAAACAATAAAAACTATAAGAGGTTTAACCTGGGAATCTAGATCTTCACCCAGTAGTATTACTGATTTCTTAAAAAAAATCTTTATGAACCATTTTATGCAAAGAGGAATCAAAACAGTTGAGATTGTTGGTGGGAAATTTAAAATATTGTAACCATAAGTCATGAAATATGCCAGTGACCGCAGCTTTATATCACTTTCGGTAATAAAATCTTTCTCAGTTGTGCTTCTGTGTTAAGGAGACTTTCCTACCTCAAAGACTTAGAGCTCATCACTGAAGACAAACCTTTGAAATACCAGTGGAAACATGCAAGAAGCTGGTCAGTATGATATGCATTTAAGTTAAGGCTGAATTGAAAGCTCTTCTAAAAATTTATTAATTTTAATTGAGTAGATTTGTCATAATAACTATGCAGTTTATATACCTCTGCTGCTTTAAGTTGGAATACAGATAATTGTAGTTTTTAAAGCTCAACTGCAAAGGCTCAAGGGTTGAATTTGAATAATATCAGATTGGTATAATAGTGATTTTTGACTCTATAATAATGAAACAAATTTGATCAAAGATATATAGGTAAAAGAAGTGAACACTGAGGGCTAAATTACAGCACAGGG